TTGAATGAGTTACACCTAGAACATGCTCCAGCTGGTGAGTGGCCAAGCCGAGCCCCAGGACCAGGCCATCACCACTGTCCACCTGCAGACTCCCTGTGTGGCACCACTCTGTGCCCTGTCTCTAAATCTTAGGGAAGAGGACAAAGATGCCCAGGAACTGAGAAGCTGAGCAGACAGACTCTCGAAAGGCAGCTTGTAACCGTAGACAAAGCTCACACGCTTACCTACCGAGCTCTCTGGTGCCTCACCGTGAACCCCCACACCTTCATCTTGAGTTTCTCAAATAAAAAAAATAACAGTAATAGCACCTAATATTTGAATCACCCTTTATCCTGCATTTTTGCAAACTTAAAACCAAAAAAATTAAACTAGTTGTCATCAAGTCGACTCTGACTTACGCGACCACACAGAGCAGAACTGTGCTCCGTGGGGGTTTCAATGGCTGATTTTTGGGAAGTACATCACCAGGCCTTTCTTTCAAGCCACCACTAGGTAGATTTGAACCTGCAACCTTTTGTTTAACAGTCAAGTACTTTCTCTGTTCGTACCACTAGAGGACAAACAGAGGGTGAGCTAATCCTTGCAAAGGCCCTATGAGGTAGTAGGTGTTACCCCCAGAGGCAGAGGGAAAGTGGGACACTTTCTAAGCACAGCTTCCAGCCCTGGCAGGCATGTTCTCACTTAATCCTCATTATTAACCTACAAAGCTGCCATTACCCCATTGATTGATGGAGAGGATGCCTGGGTGGCACAAACTGCCCTTGACTGTTAAAAAAAGGTTGGAAGTTCAAACCTACTCAGCAGCACTGAGGAAGAAAAGGCCTGACCATCTGCTTTCATAAAGATTATAGTCAAGAAAACCCTGTGGTTCTACTCTGTAACATTTGGGGTCACCATGTTAGAGCTGACTCAAAAACACAAAACAACATAGATGGAGAAAGAGGTAAAGTGAGTCAACAGGGGTTCCGGGTACCAGTCATTCAAAGCTGGGGCTCCAATCCAGATCCCAGCTAGCCCGGTACACCTGCTACTAAACCAGAGCCTGAGCCTGTAGTGTATAGACCAGGCAGGGCCCCTGGTAGAGCCCACAGACTTAGCTGACCTCCTCACCCCACTCACCACCACCATCATCCAATCACTGCTGAAATTTCCAAACAAGGCCCACAGACAACCAGCCTCAGGGTGCCCGTGCCCTGGTGAACAGGACCTCCAGACTCAGCAAGGGGCCTCCTGGGCCTCTGCACATGCCCCAGCTGGGGCAGGGTGGACAAACTAGCAAGGAGGCAAAGGGGGCGAAGTGAGGAAGACAAGAGAGCAAGTCCTAGATCTGAGAGCAAACGGAAGGCAGCAGCTTTCCCAGGAGCCCTTCCTGCTCTCTGCATTCTCCATTGACAAGCCAAAGGACTCTGGGAATGTCTCTCCCGAAAGGGGCCTAAAGAGAGGGGAAAAGCAGTTCCTACACTTTCCTCACTCTCTTATCTCACTCTCCTGGACACGCTCGTCCAATACAGATGGAGTTTTCTTCTTGTTTCTTTGTTTGTTTTTTGAATTGTTGAGAACATACACAGCAAAACATTATAGCAATTCAACAATTTCTAGATGCACACTTCAGTGATGTTGATTACATTCTTCAACCACTCTCAACCTCCTTTTCTGAATTCCTACCCCATTAACATAAACTCACTGCCCCCTAAGCTTCCTAGCTGAGCTTTTGAGTTGGTGTTGTCAATTTGATTCCACTGTGATCACAAAGAGGGAAAACAGGGAACAGAATTTCAAATTCTCAGGAAATCCAGACTTTCTGGAGCCATCAAGGATGAACCCCTGAAACTATTGCCACGAAACAGTTTTCAAACCTTCAACCAAAAATAGCTCCGAAGTCTCCCTTTAATCCAGAAGATTTTTCTAATTAGAAGGGAAAAAAAAAGAAAGTTAAGCTCCTAGAGTGGAAGGGGAGGGGGGGGAAATGTCGAGAAGCAGGCCGGGTCCCTCTGAGCACAGGCCCTACAAAGAGATGAAGCTTCCCAGGCCTTCTGCCACCCGGCTCTGTATTTTAATTGTTCCATTACAGTGAATTATTTAGTATCCCTTTCCCACCCGGTCCACCAGCCCCATAACCCCTCTGGCTGAACCAATTTCCTCTGCAGCTCTGGGGCCTGCACAACCTCTTCCCAGAAGTCAGCGCAGCAAACCAATGACAGTTTCTGCCCATTTGTAGAGACAGAACCTGAGCCAGGAGTTATGGAATATGTGATCATAAAGTTGCCAGCTTCACAGGCTACTGTAGAAACTGTCCAGAGGGCAAAAAGGTAAATGCACAGCTGCGCTCTATAAAAATTTCACAGTCTGGAGAAGCTGCTGTTTCAGGCTCTGATACTGCACAACACCCATATTGATTAGAGAGAGCATTACCAGTTATTCCAAGTCCTCCTGGGTGCTCACCAAGGTCTCCTTCAGGATGCTCTTTTCCTTTTTAAATGGCTCACTCTCAGGCCTGCATATTGCAAAGGCAGGCCCCCTCTGCTCTCTGCATCCCAGTCTGAGAAGCCTTATGCACAGAGCAAAAGACCAGACAGCCACCCATCCCACTGCCAGGGCTGGACCCTGCAGTCTGCAGAGGAAAAATGTGAAACAGAGAAAGGCCTCCCCGACCCTTTCCAACCTCTTTCCAGCCCACTAGGTACAACATGTTTCCACAACGCGGAAATGCTGACCCATTCACACACTGGGGCAGGTACACTCATACCTGCAGCAGGCTTTTTGCTGCTGCCATTACTTCTGCCAGCACTGCCTACTCTCTCCCACTTGGCAAAATCTGACTCAACCACTGTCCTAGAAAATGGCCCAAACTCTGAAAAGCCTCTTCGTCCCAGAAAAGAGCTTCCCACCCAAAGCTCCCACTCCCAATGTTGTTGATCTGGCCATTTCTAAGAGCTTACAGCTAGATGTTCCCGGCCTGGTGCCTCGCCTCAGGTACCTTTGCCAAATTAAACAATGAAACTCCTCTCCAGATCCTATCATCATATTGGTTGGTACTCACTTAGAGGGCATCATAACATACATACAGTAACTTCAGTCCTCACAGGAACCAGACATTATGTATGTATCAGTAGCCCCATTTTCCTGATGTAGCAAGGCTCAGAGAAGTTAAGTAACTTGCCCAAAGTCACACAGCTAATAAACCTGCAAAGCTAAGGCTCCACCCCAAGCAGTGTGACTCCCAGAGCCCCAGCTCTTTCCTCTGAACTAGGAAATTTCATTTCCATATCATTCTGATGGCAAAAGGGCTTAGAGTTCATGAAAGTCTAAACAAACTCTGCCCTAAAAACTAAAGGTTTAAAAAAATAAACAACTAAAGATTTTGAGAGAGCAAGGACCCGGGCCTGGTGTCAAGATTTAAGTTCAAAAACAAAGAAGAGGGGCTAATATATCCCAGATCTAGGTTGCTACCAGGGTAACAGCTGCAGGATAAATACTCCACTGGACAGACAAGGGAACCAGGTGTGGAAAGTGACCCTGCACCCGCAGGGGTCCTCTGGACAAGCTTCTGTCCTCAGTTCCTCTCTAGGTCCACACAGGATAAGCATAGGCTAACCTGGGGGATGGCAAATCAGCCTGTCTTCACTCCCTATTCCCTCCTCAACCCACAGTACACACACGCTCATACACATACACACACCAATGACCATCCAGGCAAAGACTGCAAATTCTTCAAAACCTCCAAGGGAATTTTTCAGACTCAGTCAGAAAGAGTCTGGGACAAATGTGTCTTACTAATTGCTGACCTGGGTACAGAGTTTGATCCAGGAGACAGATCTTCCCAGGGTCAGATTTCTGCCTCTGACCAGCTGAGAGGTATGAAAATGTGCTCAAAAGTTATCAAAATCTGCCTGCTTTTCCTGCAAGCCCCTGCAGTTGCCCAGGAGTGCGGGAAGGAGTAAGCAGGTTTCAAGAGCACAGCAATCTTCTCCAAGGTCCAGTTCCAACATCTCCTAGTGGAGTAAGTGAGCCTCTGTGAGCAGCACAAAAGGGCCTGCATGTGACCAACCATCCACACACTCAGCCCACGCAGGGGCTCTCAGACACTGAGGGAGTAACTCAGATCCTGTGGATTCCACAGGAGAATCTCCCATAGCTAATTGTACAGGTCTGTAAACACACACAGGCTAGTCACACACACACACATGCTCTAAAGCTCAGTGGGCTTGGAAAGGGCTGAGTGTCTTCAAGAATTCAGAAGTGGTAGAGAACAGAGGGAAGAGAAATAATGAATAAAGAAAATTTGTCATGGTCAATTTCTTTGCCCTTGGGTCTCTGACTCCAAGATCCTGACCTCTTGGCATTACTCATGGAACTATAGACCATCTCTAGGTGCTGAATTTAACATACACAAACCCCAAACCCAAAGCCCTTAGGTCCCATTGTCTGTCTGGGTTGGGGACAGCTGGATATGAGGGAAGTGGCCAAGTGGAGGACCAATGCCTGACACCTGCAAGGAAAGGATACTTTAGGCTCTGGGACAAACAATAGGGAGACTAAAAGCTTCAACCCAATCCCACTCTGTCGCCCATCAGAGCCCAAACCCACACATCCAGCCCAGTACACATTCCAAGGTCCCAGTGCGCAAAAGGAGATCTTGTGCGCAGCGTGTGGGGGAAGCTTCCCTGTAGGTGACAGGAAGGCTTTCTGGCACAAATTCGCAGACACCCTGTAGGAATAAAGTGCTGGCGCAGTGGGAAGGGCCTGCCCGTGATGAGCGCGGGTGCAGGTGTGAGGATGGGAAGATGACAACCCCCGCGAGGATCGTTTGCATCCCGGAGAAAACGAAGCAACTGTGCCCCTGCTCCTGACTCGGAAAAGACCTCTCAGGCACTGACCCGTCTAGGAGCCGTGGAGCGGGGGCCCCAACAGTCCTGTTCCCACCCCCGGTCCTGAATTGCATTTGAGTGGGAGAGCAACCTTGGGGCTCCTACGGGCCAGCGGGTGGAGGCCATACTTACAGGCGCTCGGTGCTCCGTGGGATGTTCTTCGGGATGGCCTGAAGCCCCGTGCCATGGCAGTCCACCGTGGTGCCAGTGCAGGTGCAGAGGGCGGGGCACGCCGTCGCCCCCAGGCGCCACGCAGCTGCCCACAGCAGCAACCAGAGCTCAGGCCGGACGAGCCCCGTAGAGGAGCCCCTCCGGGGCATCAGCACCATGGTGCCCTCGCCGCGTCCCGCTTGCATGCCAGACGGCGTCAGCCTCTTACCATCCCCGTCCGGGGCCGCCTTCAGGTGCAGTCCCGGGGCAAAGCCACCGAAGAGATTGCGGATTTGTGCTCTGCGCCCTTGAGGGCAGGAAGGCACCTTGCTCCTCCAAGCGACGACGCCTGTGCGCGGTTGCAGGGAGGGCCCCTCGGCGGAGGGCGCTCAGCTCCTCTCCTGTTTCTCGCTGCCTGGGTCTCCCTCTCTCCCTCCCTCCAGCTCCCAACTGACTGCTGCGAGGAGGAAAATGGGCAGGCCCCGCGCGCGCACGCACCCCGCGCGCACACACACACTCACACACTCTCACACCCGCACGCTCGCCCCCACCCGGCAGTCATCCATCAATCGAAAAGCACACATCCAGGGCCAGACTCCTCCCCTCTCCCGGGCGCCCGGGCCCCCGCCTCCTGACGACCACTGGGCTGCGAGCCGCCTACAGTTTCAAAGGTGGAACCTTAGAGGCGCCGAGACCAGGCTGGGCTGCGGGGGAGGGGAGTGGAGCCCCGACTCAACCTGTCCGATGTGGGCCTTCGGCGGACACACACACACTAAGGACATAGACACTTAGACCCACGCACCTCGCCCGGGTGGTTCCAGCTGCCAGTTCAGGGAGGAGAGGGAATCTATTTTGTTGCCTGGACCCCCTCCCCCGGGGCCACAGCCAAGCTTCCCCCGACGACAGCGGCGGAAGCAGCCTCCAAACCCCACCAGACTTGCTTTGTCATATCTTTGTCATATCTTAGAGATGCCCCGCGCCCCAGGTGGCATCTCCAAGCCACCTACCTTCTTAGCCTTAGACCTCAGGGCAGAGCCTTGGGTGAAGGAGGACACAAAACCACTAGGGCAAGTATAACTCAATATACTCCTTCCTCAACACATTCTACACACGCACACACACACAAAGGCAACCGTCCCACTTCACAAAGAAGAACACTGAGCAGTAGCACCAGGTTAAAAATGACCGTGATTCGTACATTTGGTCACTGAGAAGATGCCATTTCTTCCTTTATAAAGCCATCAGCGGGTGCTGAAAACCTAGCTAATATCCAGCAGTGTTCCACCATCTCTGACAGGTGAAAACAGATCAAAACTAATATCCAGAAAGGGGTAAATATCATCAAAGGACAGCAGAGAGGGGGCTGTAGAAGGGCTGGGGTGACCTGCCCCCAAGAGAAGCACCCTGACCACCAAGATCAGGTCCCAGACCTTTAGCTCTCCCTTGGGTAGGGACTTTCTTATACTATGGAGCAGGTGTGCACACGGTTTTGGATTTGGGTGTGGAAGAGAAATCCAGGTCTGAAGATAATCCTCAAACCAAGAAAAAATGAAGGCCCTCCCCAGACCAGGGAGAGATATGGTTCTCTGGTGCTCCATAAAACTCAGGCATCATCTGTCTATTGGGCCAGCCCCCGGTGAAAGATTGCCGACAAACAGATAAGAAGAAAGAATTGAGCATCTCACATGAGCTGGCTACCTGGGTTTCCCTTTAGGAGAAAGCAAAAAGAGAGATGGGCAGGCACAGCGTGGATAAAATTGGAGTAGAAGAGATAGTCTAGGCTTCACAAGATTAAAGCCTTATCCCCCAACAAGTACCCAAAACTACTGGTTTTCCTTCATTTTTCTTTTCAATCTTGATGAAAATTTTGCAGTATCTCCACTATCACAGTCTAGATAAAGTTGTGACCAGTATCTGACAAGCTCACAATTAACATGACTGATTTTGTGGGGTTTGACACTTCCTTTTTTCCTTCTTGGAATGTTTTCACATCCCATCCCCATGGATTTCCATTCAGGGCCCCAGGTTCTTGAGCTTCAATCCAATGACAACTTGGGGGAGGGCACTCTCTAAGGGGTTCCAGTGTGGTAAAATTTTGGGGAACCTTCCCACAAATCTCTGGGTGGTGCAAATGTTAACACATTTGGCACTAACCAAAAAGTTGGAGGTTCAGATTCACCCAAAGACATCTTGGAAGAAAGCTGTTGTAATTCCCAAAAATCAGTCCTTGCAAATCCTGTGGAGCACAGTTCTACTCTGACACACACAGGGGTGTCATCAGTAGAATCTACATAAGAAAACTCAGCCATTGCAAATCCTGTGGAGCACAGTTCTACTCAGACACTCCTGAGGTCGTCATGAGTGGGGACGACTAGGCAGCAACCAATAAACTGGTTTCCACAAGTCAGGCTAGAGCTCCGCAGCCAGCAAGGTGGTCTCCCCTCTCTCTCTCACAAATTCCTACTCCTCCACCAGGACTCAACCACGCCTCCCCTCGGTGGTCTTCCCCAAATGTCTTAGCCTGACCTGAGTTAAATCCTCAAACTAAGGAGAACTTGGGCCTCTCTCTGCACCAGCTGCTTGGTTTCTTCCCTCTTTACGTGAAGGCTGAACTGTTTACTTAATGGGCTCCTCCAACACTCCGCCTGAGATAGAGACAGTTCACACTAGCTGCCTCACTTTGACACTTACCCCAGCACCTAACACTTAATAGGCCTGTCACAGATGACACTCAGACTGTTGAAGATATCTGATCTTCCATGTTCTGCTCCAGAGGATGGCACACACCACCACCACCCTCAGAAACTAAGCTTCATGTGAGGAAGGGGCAGAGTGTTGGTTCATCAGGCATATGCCCTGGAGTCTTCAGAGTGGTAGGATGAAGGGGCACAGGAGGGGTGGGAATGGGCAGGGGGCTATAAAATCGGCCCTGCCTGCAGTCCACAGGGCGACCCTCTACCCTAGAAGCTTCCAGACTAGCCTGGACAGTGAATCCCAAGCAGGCATGGCGCCAAGTTGTCACAGCCTGGCAAGACCTGGCCTTTCCTTTGAAGGGGGGTAGGAAACAGCCCCTCCCTCAGACCTGGGACAAAGACTCCCCTCGCCAGCCCATCACGGGAGGTCCTGCCCCAGCAGCCGGGCAGCTCCCCAACTTGGCTCCCATCCCCAGTTCCTCCACCCCAGAACCTGGCTGGCTCCCCAATTTAGGAGGCAGCTCGCCATGAATGAACGCAGCTCATTAACGTTCCCAGCACATTTACTCTTTAAACAACCGCCTGGCCAGCCACACCCCCCAAACCCCCTTTGTTTTTTCAATTTCCTCTCCCATGCCCCTCCCTCTGTTGGAGCTCCATCCCTGTAGCTGGGCCACCTGCTCCCTCCACACGGGTGAGGAGGCGGCAGGCCTGGTACAATGTGTCTGCCAGGAAAGCTCCACCAAGCCATCTCAGGGCAATCCCCTGAGGGAAATTAGGGTGGTCACTCCCATCCCCAACATATGAGCTTCCTCTGAATCCCTCAGCTGCACGTGCTTGTCCTGCAGTGGAGGGCATCCTCGGCTTGTGACTTGATGAGCGAGCCTCCCCCCCCCCCCCCCCCTCTAGTTTCCTGTGCAGGGTCCCCTCCCCCACCTCTACCAGCCTCTCCTGGAGCAACAAGAACCTGGAGAACGTGCATAAGAAGACTGAGAAGCACAGTGGTTTGTGTTTTCAAATTTCCAAAGGCAGAAATGAGAGAGAATGCCCACTATTCAGGTATGTTTTAAACACCATCTATTGAGTATCTTGGTGTGGCGCTGTGGGTTAGTGTACTGGACTGCAAAGTCAGTTTGAACTTCAAGGCCGACGGTACAAGCTCACCAGCTGCTCCTCAGAAACCCTATACAGGTTCGCTAAGAATAGAAACCAACTCAAAGGCACTAAACAACAATATTGAGTATCGCAGCTCCATATGATAAACACTGGACTGCAAACCACAAGTTCTGTGATTCGAGTCCACCAGACTCTCAGCAGAGGAAAGATGAGGCTTTCTGCTCCTGTGAAGATTTACAGCTTTCAGAAACCTATACGGGGTCTCTATGAGACTCGATGGCATTTAACAACAACAGTTGAGTATCTAGCTACTATGTGTCAGGCATTTTACCAAGCCAAATCCCACTGTCATCCAGATGATTCTGACTCATAATGACCCTGTGGGACGTAGCAGAACTACCCCGAAGGCTCTCGGGGTTATAAATGTTTATGAAAGCAGACTGCCACATCTTTCAACCACAAAGTAGCTGATGGGTTAGAACTGCTGACCTTTTGGTTAGCGCCCAGTGCTTAAACTATTGCACCACCAGAATCAGCAATTCAATAGGAAGTAAGACACAGGAAAAATGTTCACAGTCTTATGGGAGGACGGAAAGAGGACACAAGAAAGCCCATCTAGAATGATCAGTTTGGTTCCGATGATGTGGAATTGCAGAGGGAAGAACCAAAACCTAGAGTGTGTAGCACAGGGTTGGTCAGGAAGGTTTCCTGGTAGAGAAGACACTTGAACTGAGCCATGAAGGATAAACAGACTTCTGGCATGTCATCTGGAGAAGGACACCATGCTTGGTAAAATCGAGAGTCAGCAAGAAACAGGAAGACTCTCAATGAGATGGACTGACTCAGTGATTGCAATAGTGGACTCAAACATCTGAATGACTGTAAGGACGGTACACAACTCTCTCACTTGTGTAGAGAGTTGCTGTGGTTTTAGCTGATCCAATAGCACCTAACAACAACAAGGCAGAAAAACAGAAAGAAAGGCTTTTCCAACAAATGAAACTGCATGAGTGAAGGCACAGAAACATGGTGCAGACATGGCTGAGTTGTGGCAAGTTCTGAAAGGCTGGGGCATGGCAGAAGGTGCAGCAGGTTAGAGAGGTGATGGGGGCACAGCCCCGACGTCCTGGTGCAGCCCTTCTCTGCATTTACTAAGCTTTCAGAATCTCCTTGCCTGCTCCTGTGGTCAGTCATACATACACCTAGATTTGTGCTTGGAAATACACTATATTTGAAACCAGTGACGATGGCTGCTTCGGGGGGCAGGGAGGGACCTGGATGGTAGCAGCGGGACAGTTTCAGTGTATGATTTTTTTTACTGTTTGAATTTTTTACCCTGTGTTGGTTTGTTAATTGCCATCGAGTCCGTTCCAACTCATAGTGACTTTGTATAGGGTTTCTGAGGAGCAGCTGGTGGGTTTGAACCTCCAACCTTATTGTTCACAGTCCAGTACTTATCCTACTGGGCCATACCAGGAGTACTTTACTCTGTGTACTATGACTTAAACAAGTTCCAACACAACTAATACATTTTTTTAATCTCCTGGGGTGCTTAGTGTAAATGCTTATTTCTAGGGCTCACCCTAAACCTTCTTAGACAAAATCTGCATTGTTAGCAATCTGAGAGGGAAATGAGGCAGTAAGATTCTGATGCCGGTGGTCCCAGGGACCATGTGCTCTAAGAATCAAGACCTAGTATGTTGAGTTAATGAGTTTGAACTTGGACCTGAAAACTCTGGGGAGCCATTGAAGGAAGTGGACTGGCAGGGGAAGAGGGTATAAGGCTTGTCTGCCTTCCTCCTCTCTGGTTTTCATATACTCTTAACAAGAATGAAGCGCATCAAATGGAAAGATAACCACAGCACAATGAGGAACTGGTGGAGGAGGAGGCAGGAGTTATGTGATTTGGACGTATAGTAGCTTCAGTCACAAAATGTCAGAGCTGAAAGGAGAGTAAGAAATTACCAAATCCATGTGTACACTGAAAACTATAATACATTGCTGAAAGAAATTAAAGAAGATGTAAATAAATGGAAGAGCATCCCACTTCCTGGATTGGAAAATATAATATTGTTAAGATATCAACACTAATCAAAGTGATCTATAGATTAAACTGAATTCCTACAAAAAATTCGAACAATCAAGAATGGATAAACCAATTCTCCAATTTATGTGGAGTTGCAATCTTGAAAAAAAACAAAGTGAAAAGACTCACATGTCCTTATTT